TGGAACTGCCTGGCCAAGGCAGTGACTGAGAGTAACACAGCCAGCATGTGGCTGCTGGGACCAGGGGTGGCGGTGATGGCAGCCAAGCCTGGCACTGGGCAGCAAAGGTGCGTCCTGGGCTGGGCACCAGTGCCGAGACCCTTGGGGAGCTGAGGAGCTCATGAGGGGCTTGCATGCGGTTGGGTGACAGGTGCCTCACAGCCCCTGCCAAAAAAGGGATGGTGCAGCCCCACAGCATCTGGCTCCCTGTCATGACATGGGGGGTGCCTGGCTCCCCATCATGACACGGGGACACAGCAGCTGGACAGGAGACAGGGAAGAGCGAACAACAGTCTGTGGCATTTCATCCTCCCTATTCACTCAGTGTGGAGAAGGCTCAGGGCAGAGTCCGCCAAGCCATTCCCCCTGCCCTGGGCAGTCGCACCTTCGCTGGCTCTCCGTATTTTTCAGCTGCTCTGACAATTAATCAGAGCCACTCCTACAGGATTCTGGCCCTCTGAAGCTGCCAGTCCCTGTCTGAATAGATTTTAAATGTTTGCATCATGCTCTGGTTTCTTTGCTTTGCCCATGAAGAAGTCAGCCACTGCCTCAGGGCCTGGAGGTGACACCTTGGTGAGAAGGAGGCACTGCCAGGGCTGACGGAGCTATGGGCAGCCAGGGCCAGGGCTGTTTTCATGGAGAAGAGCCTGTCAGGCTCATGGGGAGCCCACCTGGGCCACCCTCTATGGGCTGAGATCACCCACCTTGCTCCAAACCCCTTCACTGGTGACAACTGAGCTGTGCCAAGGGTCTGGGGATGCTCCTGGCCCCTCCGAGGACATGCGCCACCTTGACAACTCTCTCAGTGGATGTTGGGAGATGGGAAAGGGGAAATATCTGTCCTGGGAGTGGGCAGGTTGGACAAGGAGCCTTTGGGCTACTCCAGCACTAAGGGCAGCTCCCAGCACACAAAACCATCATGAGAGAAGGATGAAAGATGCTGCCTGCTCTGTTTAACATCTCTGTTACTCAGAAAATAGAAGAAAATAGAATCCCCTAAGTTGCTGGGGAACCGGAGCTCAACTCCTGATGGTGCTGAGCTTCACCAGAGGCTGATTTCGCTTGACGCCGAACCCTCCGCTCCACCTGGGCACAGTACTTCTCAGGGATGCCGGCGGCTCTGCAGAGAAAAGAAATCATCAGGCACCCTGTGCTACTCCAGAGCCAAAATTTAGGATCATGCACCCAGAGTGGATCCTGTTTTATGAGGATGGAAAGGACTCTGTGAGGCGGCCCAGGGTCAGGAGATGGTGGGAAGCCAGGAAAGACCTGGGGACACACAGGGCACCAGGGAAGAAAGTGGCCACTGTCAGCAAATCACCTGAGCTCCTGCAGCTTCTGCTGCTTGAGCTGGGCAATGCGCTGGCTGCGCTGGCGAGCCTCCTCCTGCAGCCGCCGACTCTCCTCGAAGGCGACCACCCGCTCCTGCACCAGCTGCTGCTGCCTCTCCCGCACCTGGCGCCGGACATCGTCCGCGTGGGCGAGCTGCAGACGTGCCCTCCGCTCTGCCTCTGCCTTCTCCTTCTCAATCTGTTCCCGCTGGGCCCTGCAGGAGAGCCCAGGCCAGATGAACATCCCTACTTCAGCCCGAACTCAGCCACAGCAGAGCCCCTGGCCAGGCTGGGAACCCCCACAGCAGCCCCCCTGCCACTGTCTCCCCCATCCCTGGGCCCCCTTTTGCAAGGCAGAGCTCTGCCAGCCAGCCAGCAAGCTCCAAGCACCGTCCCTCTCACCTGAGGATCCTCTCAAACTCATTGCGGTCCTGCTGCACCTGCACAGCCATGAGGTGCTCCCGATGGGCGATCTGCTCCAGGCGGCTCCGCTTCAGGTTCTCCTCTGCCTCCGCCCTCTGCCGTGCTGTTTCCCTCTCCTTGCGCCGCCACTCGCGCTCAGCAGCTTCTTGGCTGCGCTTGGCCCTCAGCGCGTCCTGCAGAGGGGAACAGCAGTGACGCTGGGGACTCACGAGGGGGCTTCCCTTGCTGGGAAGGTACAGCAGCACTCAACCATGGGTCTGCCTCTCTCCCAGTGCCATGGCCAATGTGGCTCCAGGGGCTGGTCCAGACCCACAGCAACCCAGCAGACCCACCACATCCTGGGGAGCTTCTACTTGGTTGGGCTATCGATAAGGACGAGGGCCAGTGAGCCAGCACGGGAGCATATGGGGTGCCAGCAAGGTGCTCACCTGCTCTGCCTGCTGGTCCTGGGCCTTCTCTTGCATGGCCCTCAAGCGCGCCATCTCCATCTCCTTCTCCTTACGGATTCTCTGCTGCTCAGCTTCGAGCTTGGCCTCGCGCTCCTGCGTGGGACAGAGCCTTGTGGCTGCTCTCTGCAGCTCCTCTGTTTCCCACAGACCCTCTGCCAATGCTGGCTCAGTCCTGTTACCATTTTCTGCCTCTGGTACTCAAGCACCCGTTCATCTGCCATCCTCTCCTGCTCCCGCTGCTCCTCTTTGAGTTTCTGGTTCTCATCATTGACAAATTTAATCTCAGCCTGGATTTTCCTCTGTTGCTCCTGTTTCCGCTCCAACTCCTGAAAATGGTGTGGAAGGTCCAAGGGTGTCAGGGCAAGTGCCTCCCCGACTCCTCCCCATCTGCCTTCCTGAGGGCCCACTGGCACACAAGAGGCAAGGGGGGGGCTCACCAGCTTAGGTCACTTTCTGAGGATGCCTCAACTTCCCCAAGGAACCAGAGCTGTAAATTGTGTGGTTGTTGTCTCCACACACCAGGTCTGACTTACCCAGCACTGGCTCACCCTTCCTATGGTGTGAAAATCTAACTCCAGCCCCCCAGTCCCTGTTGGATCACTGGTTGCACCTTCAGGTCCTCCATCTTCAGCTGCTCCAAGTACTCCAGCATCCTTTGAGCTTCCTGGTGCTGTTGCTCAGCTCTCATAGCCCGCTCCTCCGCGTTCTTCTCAATCTGCTTTACAAGCTCCTGCCTCCCTCTGCAAAGAGGAGTGCAAAGTTTCCCTCTGGCTCTGTCCCACTGCCAGAAGCAGAAATGCCAGCATAGACATGCTGCAGTGGGAAGCTGGCAGCCATAGGCTATCCCAGCTACTGCACAGGGTCTGGGAAGAGGACAGATGCTCTGTAAGGAAGAGGGACCCTTTTGCAAACCTAATCAGCTCCTGCTTCCTTCTGTGCTCCAGTTCCTCCTGCATCTCACTGGCCTTGTTCCTCTCCACCTCCATCATCTTGTCCAGGCGCTTCTCTTCTTCCTCCAGCTCTTTTGCAATGAGCCGCTTCTCCAGGATCTGCATGTCACGGATCATGTGGCACTTGGTGCCAAGGATCAGCTGTGGGGACAACAAGTCTCCCTTGTCTCTGAGCCAGGCTTGACAATGTCATCAGGGACATACACACAGACAAGGAGGAAAAGGGAAGGAGAGCAAGATTCTGGGTAGCAACCGTAGAGCAGGGTTTAGGTCTGGGTTGGCTGGGAGAAGCTCGTTGGGATTCAGGCAGGTCCTAACATCTGTGGAAGGTCCTGCAGTGCGGTGACATGCGGGCCCCCCGGCCCTACCTGGCTGAACTCCTTGATCTCATCTTCCTGCTCCATGCGCATCCTGTTTGCCCGCTGCAGCAGGTTCTGGGCCCGTTCCCGTGCCTCCTCCTCCAGGTCGCTCAGCTTCGCCTTTTGCAGGCCGGCCTTTTGCTTTGCCACGCTCTTGCGCTCACTTGCAGCCTCCTGGGGGGACCAGCAGGGCTGCCTGAGGGGCTGCGGGGCAGCTGAGAGGCATGGCAGGCTCCTCCAGCTGTCGCATGGGGCTGAGCAGCCCCTTCCCACACCCTGATGAAGACCCCACTCGCTTCACAGAGTGGCAGAAATGCAGCACAAAGGCTTCACCACAGCCTCTGGGGCCACCCAGGTGGGGGAAGAAACCAGTGTGGGATTTCTGGACAGAACCCACATGGGATTCTTTCCCCAGCCATGGACTGGGCAAACCCACGGATGCTGCACAGCCCTTCTGGGGCTGGGGATCAGAGGAGACCCAAGACACACAAGAGTGCTGCCTCCCCTGCATGCTGGGTCCGGTGACACCAAAACGTGGTGAAAGAAGGAGGCAGGTGGTAACCCCTGAGCAGATCTGAGAACGAAGGGGCAGGAGGGGAATCACCTACAAGAGCAGCTCTCTTCTCTGCTTTGAGGGCTGCCAGCTTGGCCTCATGCTCCTCCTTGGTCAGGACTCGAGCTGCTGCTTGGATGCGCTGGAAATCCTCTTGGCCAATGATGAGGAATGCTGGTGGGTTCTCTACAGGGACACTGGACAGGGCACAGAGAGGGGGTCAGTGGCTTCAAGTTCTGACAGCTCTCCCCACTCCCTGCCTGACCGTGGGACCTGCCTGGGCTGCCCATGGCCAGGGTGGCTGGAGCAGCTCTGTGACCAGGAGTCACCCCAGAGCAATGCAGGAAGTGCCTGAGATGCCAGGACCCAACTGTCCCAGTCAGGAAGAGGAAGGAACAGAAAGTGCAGTGAAAGCGGCACCATGGGGTGATGCTCAGGGGACAGGATGCTCATTGGGGTGACCAGGGGACCTGGAAAACCCCAAAACATTCAGCACGGACCTAGTCAGCCCAAATAAATCAATGTTGAAAGTATTTCAGGACAGCTTGACTTTCCCAGCACTCATTTGGGAACATTCTGACCACTGCCTTGACCCCCTCTTCCAGCAGGACATGGTGCTCATCCCCACCCCTAGACCAACTGCCGCTGCTTCTGTGTGTCTGACTGGAACCTCTGCTCCATGTGGGCCGATTCTGGGGAGCAGAAGTTGCTTTTTTGCTCAGCCTGCTCTGGCTCCAGCTCTGCACAGCACAGCTCGACTTCATCTCAGCTGCCCCAGGAATCCACCCAGCATGGAGGAGCAGGTGCTGCCCAAACACGGAGCACCCTCTCCCCTCCCAGTGCTGGCAGGTCCCCCTCCAGCTGTCACCCTGGCCCTGCAGGACACTGCTGAGCCACAAACTCTGCTCATGACTCATGCTGTGGTTTAGAGGAAATCACCGAAGCTCTTGGTGCCCCCATTTCCCCACTTGTAAAAATGTGGATAATAATATGGGGCTGTTTTCCACGGGAGTTGTAAGGAGTTAATTACTCTTTGTATTACTCAGATACCATGGTGACGCGTGTGGTGTAGGAGCGTATATTAACCAAATGCATCGAGCACTTTGAAGATGTTTAGGACTAAGAATTTACTCATCATTATTGTGTGTCACCTTTCATCCACCCTTGTGAATATGAACAGATACCTGCATAATGATCGTTCGAGAGCTGCATCACAGCATCGGATTCTAGGACGCTTTAAAGAATGGCTAATGGTCACAACGGCACTAATAAATGTAATGACACAGTGGCCACTGCTTTAGTTGTCCCAGTGTTTGGGTGTCCAGCCTGGGATGTCTAGGGGCTGATTTTCAGGAATTAGACCAGCACAAACAGTTTCCACTGGCCGTGCAACACATCTGGAAAGTGGCCCTCGGCTTTGGCAGCAGGATCAAACAAGAACATGAATGTATAAAACCTGGTGCCAGCCTCGAGAGCCTGATCCAGTGCCTATGTGCCATTTCACTCTCCACAAAACCCAAACCTGAGCCATCTGTGGGGCGGGTGTCACATTTTAGGGGTGCAAGAGCATTACACAGAGGTTCAAAACAGGAAGCAAAGATGAACCTCGTGCTGAGCAACAACTACCAGGAAAACTTAGGGAGGTCAAGATGAGGCTAAATTGAAGCTAGCTGGGATAATCGCCCTATTCTCGTCTATGTGCTGCAGGCTTTTAAGGAGTTGTAGTAATTAAGGCCTGGGTTCTTATAGTTCAGCCTTGCTTATGAAACATCCCTGTAAAGAAGCACACAGCTCCCATGCGCTGGGGTTGCAGCTGCCTTTCAAATGGGCTTTTGGGAGAATGGGAGGTAGTGGCTGATACCTGATGAGGGACAGGTGCCACCCCAGTGGCTGTTCAGCCCAGAAGGAGCTTTTCCAGCTGCTGAGAAGGTTTTGTGTTGTTTTTAACTGGTTCTGGTGAGGATTCGGTGCCTCTGTGGAAGACCTAGTGCCTGGTGCTCACTGCCTCCATTGCCTCCCAAGCTGGGTGTATCTGAGTGCTGCCCATCCCTCCTCCCCTGAGATGTCCTGGCAAACAGCAGGACAAGCTCTGTGCACTGAGACAGGGCTGTGACAGACAGGCAGACCCCCAAAAGCTCCTCAGAGCTTCCCTTGACTTACACAACATCACGGATGAAGTCCTTGGTGATGAGCCGGATGGTCTCGGGCTTGTGCTTGCAGGCAGGCGAGGCTTTTGGGGCAGTCTGCATATCCTGAAGGATCACCACGGAGCTGCATGACTGCTGCAGGCTCTGCAAGAAAGGATGGCATTTCCTGCAGCTTCCCTTACACCACTGCATGCCTGGCTCTCTGCCCCCCCCGCCCCATGTCCTGGCTGCTCTGGGCATGAGAGGCCACAGGCTTCTGTGAGCTCAGGATGATTTCTGACAAACACCCAGAGAGTTCTTGACACAGGAAGAGGGGTTTTTTTTGCCTCAACTGCCCCATGGGGAGAACAAAAATTACCCCTACAGCACTGGTTTTGCTATAAAAATCTAGGCACCAGTGTCTCACCCAGATCTGAAGCAATGATGAGCTGATACTGCTCCAGCAAGATCTCACACATGCTCAAGCATCATCTGGGCTTCCTGGGGCTGATGGCAGCTGCCCCTGCCCCACTCACCCATGGCCACTGGCACCTCTGTCCTGCAGAGCCCCACAGACTGAAAAAAACAACCCAGACTGACTCAGACTTGCTGGGGAGTCCTGGGGAGGGGGGGAAATTGGGGACAACCCGAGGTCTGGCCTCTCAGGGCAATCTACCAGCAGACACGGGGCAGACACCAGTGCTCCCAGTACAGCCCTGACTGGTGCTGGTTGCTCTGCTTGAGCCAAGGCTGCCACCTAGTGAAGTGTCCCCCTCTGGCTGTGGGGTGACTGAGGACCCCCTGGCACCCCACACAGGGTGGGTGTTGGGTGCCCCTGGACCAGTCCAGGAATGTCCCAAACATGTTTGGGGCAGTGCATCCCATCCTCCTGTGTGAATCCCATGGAAAGAAGCAGATCTCCCCAGCAGCCAAATGTCAGTTCCTGGCCTGGATACCCGAGCCCAGCAGAGCCAGCCCTAGGTTTGGCTTCACCAAGTCCAACCACAGTGAAATCCTGGGGCCAGGAACCACGGAGCTAATCTAAGGTACATACAGATGTGTGGTTTCCCTTGTACCTCTATTTACTAGTTCAGCTTTAAAATCCTGCTGGAACAAATCCTACAGCCAGCCAGGTGCCGAGCAGTTCCCTGGGAACTTGCTGCCGGCAATAATTCCATTTTATGGGTCTGATGACCCAGACCCGTAGCCCAGCATGGCAGATACTGGAGCAACTTCCCAGGCACTGTGGCCCCAAGTGCGAGCTGTTGAATTAAAGGGTTTGGCACTGAAACACCCGTGCAAACAAAGATAATGGTGTTATTCACTGCAGCCAGCCCGCACGTTATCCCCAAAGCCAGAAGAATTCCTCACACTAGACATGGATTAATCTTAAGGAATTCAATTAATGCCCATATGAGCATTACATTTTTATCTAACTGCCTTGAAGGCCTCAGAGATAACAGACTATCAACCTGCCTGGGGCTGGCGGGGCATCCCAGGCACACGGACCCAGCAGCAGGTCGCTTGCCGGGAGTGCTCCCACGAGGCAGCTGGGAGCAGAGGTAATCTTCATTACACGCTTCCTTCCGCTCCTCTGAAAAGCCAAAGGGTTTTGGCAAGTCTCTTCAGACAGATTTGTTTCAAGCGATAAAGCCCCAGAGAGGAAATTACAGCCGTAGCCCCGGCAGAGATGCCCTCAACATGTTACCAGCTGAAGAGGTGGAGAGCGTGAGATGGATAAAAACACTGGCAGCCTCCAGCCTGGCCTTTGTACATCAGCCTGTGTCAAGGACGATACAAAGGGCGGGGAAAGCCAGCGGATGCAGCCATAAACCCAACCTGCCACAGGGAGAGCATCTGTAGAGGCAGTGAAGGAGGTGGGAGGGCAGCAGCAGGGGAAAGATGTCCAAAACATTGCTCTTGCCTGAAAAAATGCCATCATCCCCCTCGGTGATAGTGGCTGCAGCGCTCCCCTGGGCTCTCCTGAGGGACAGCCAAGGGACGAGTGCAGAGGAAGCCAGCCCTTCCCTTACACGACCAGAGAGGGAAGAGCTGTTGCTGTTTATCTCCTCCTCCATGGCCAAGGCATCCGGCCAGGAGGTCAGAGACCTGCTGCAATTCTGCCTTGTCTCCAAGGGGACTGATTTCGTAGCTCCCTGGTGGAAGTCTAACTATGTTGGCAATGAGCTGCTCTGGAAGCTTCCAGCCCCTGCTCTGAGGACTCTATAAATCCCACATGAGAGAACCACCGTCTAACGTACAGACCCTGGAATGCCTGTACCCATAACGCCTGTACCCGGGTGTCACCTCCTGAGCCTCCTGTCTCACTAATTAACTAATTACCCTGTGAAAAGTGGAAGTCTCAGGGAGAACAGCAACACTTCCAGCTCCTGGTCTGGTGGAGACACTTCCAGAGACAGGGGCAGATTTTGTGCCTTCCCAGAAGGAACTGAGCGTGGGGTTCTCACAGTGGGACAAGGAATTAAGAAGTGGCAGGGTCTGGGGAGGGCTGGGAAGGGGAGCAACTAGAGTCCCTCAGCTGGAAGGCTTGTAAAATGTGGACCACGGTGGTAACATGGTGGAGAAGAGCCTCCAGCAAGCAGCTGGTGCGAACAGGGTAGGATGAGACCAAGCAGAAGAGGCGCGAGGGGCCAAGGCACTGGGGGCTCAGTCCTGGTGAGGCCCCAGCCCCCTGTGCCACTGCCCGGTGCATGGAGTGAGCAGCCAGTAG